ACTGTGGTCACCGCACTGGTCTGTGCATACAGACGTACATGTGACATTTGCTACTGGATGGAAATCGTCAAATAGTGTGCATATAATTAATGCAAACACAGATGTCTGTTTCAGATGATTTGCTTGCATGCATAAAGCTATGTTTGACATTTAGATGCTTAACTATTAAATAATTTCTGCACAATAAGAGTCACCAAACAGAACTGCAAATCATCAAAAGGTGTTCCTGAACATATCCTTCATTGTGAAAAACAGCTAAGACTGTCATAATCTCACTCCATTAGTTGAGTCAGTGTTGTTGTTTTGTTCAGGATCAGGATCAAAATACAGATCAATGTTTTCAAATTAAGCATCACAGAGTTACACTTTTTATGAGAACTGATCATGTCTTATTCATAGTGAGAAAGCATTTAAACATGTAAAAATGATGCACTTTAGCTTTAACATATTCACTGAAATTGGGAAAACATGCCATAATACCATGATGACACTATCACACTCAATGAGTCCCACTGCAAAACATCTCAACACCTGAACAGATTGACAACAATCTCCAGCATTTAGTGGGCGACCAATCAGGTGATTTCGAGTCTGAAACACAAGATGAGCTAATGTGATGGACAAGCTTTAGCTCGTACACATATAATACAATACATGGCATCAGAAAGGCCAGTGGTATTACGATCACACGAGTGTGTGATAGAGATAGAGCGCCTGTAATTATACAGACGCTTGGTTTATCTGTTATACATGATCTGGATGCAGTTCAAGGGTGAAGAACAGAGATGAGACTGTTAAACATATTACCACGTTTTGTATATTAGCTCAGAATGGGTGCATAGTTTACCCTTTGGTACTTTTAATGAAAAAAAGTTTTCATTTCAACAATTTATGAGAACTCAAATCTTGAACAATGGCACTGTGGTACATTTGACTGGAGACACAAGACTGAACAGAATGCATAAAGAAACACCAAGCTACATTTGATTTCAACAAAGACTCAGTCTTTATTCATAATTATTTCATGAAATGATGTGCATTTCTTTAATACAAAGTACATGGAAATGTATAACAAAACAAGAGGCACTTAAAAATCCCAATGAAATCTCACATTACAACAATATTTAAAGGAGATCAGACATATGACCGAGAAAACTGAACCATATTACTATCTTGTATGTCTGCATCTTACGTTTGTCTTTGTTTGTATATCTGACTTATGATCAATGTCTTAATCTCAGAGAACTGCAATAAAAATCAGACTTTTAAATGCCAACAAGAACAACACATGTCTGATGTTCTAAAATGTGTTCCAGTTGTAACCAGAATAAGGATTTAAACTGGCAAAATATATTTTAGATATACAATTTCTGTAACTATTAATTGCTGTATAAACATGTCAGTAACTAAAATACAATATATTTTTCATTATGTTCTTTGCTCAGCAGGCACATTTCTGCAACTGCTGTCTCAGGTCAGGAGATTTTCTTCAGCTGTAAATCATTGTTGTGGTAAAACTAGTTATTTTAATACATAACATTAAATACAAAGAGCCACTGCCGCCCATTGATTCCTGCTGTTTACATTACATTACACATGGTTTCCCTCCTCAAGTGTTCACGTTTTCTGAGCTCCTGTAAAAAATATCATCTCTGATAGCCGCAAAACACCCTTCACAGATCAGCCAACAGAGACTGAGATGAGCACAGAGAGAACAGATGAGTGTGTGTGTGTGCCAGAGAGAGAGAGGAAGAGAGAGAGACATAAGCATAATACACTCACAGTAAAAACAGGAGGTGGAGAGGGAAGAGAGCAGAAGGATACACTCCTGCCGTAATCCGTGAGCTTGTCGTGCCCAGACCGTCCCTCGCTCACAGCTCCACAGACGCAGACGTCCGTGTCCCAGCCCAGGTAGATGTGTTCCCTCAGCACCGGCTGATAAGAGCGGCTCAGAGCAGCAACTAATTCACCATGAAACTGCCGCCAGAGCCTGACTGATTGATCACTGCTGGAGGAGACGAGGAAGGAACAGTTGGAAAGGAGCTGATCCCCAAGAGATGTGGCAAGGCGTGCCAGTTTCCCTCCAGCAGCTCAGGGAACAGAGCAAGAGAGAGAGTCTGCAGTCCCTCCGATTCTCCACATGATGCTGCTGGCGGAGAGCAGATCCGCTGGAAAGGAGCTCTCGCTCTCTCTCACTCGCCGCTTCCAGACAGCACTGGGATCGATTTAGGTCAGCTCGTCTGGGGCAGCTCTCTCACCGATTCACCCGCTGAAAGCAGGACTCCGGGAATCTATTATCCAGTTACGGGATGATTGCATGTGTCCGAGAACGGGATAGGTCCGGCTGGGAGAGGCCTGTGGTCAAAGTCTTACATTTGAAGCAGAAACATTATCCGAGTCCATCCCAACAATCCAAAAGACAATGCTTTCCCTCCTTCAAGAACGCTCGTTCCTCTGGGATCTCCTGCAAGCGCACACACTCTTTGGGGAAATGCTGTATTCCTCATGGAAACCAAGTGTATAGATCCAAGCTTTTTCAGAAATCTGCCTCCAAACTTCCCAGGCATGTTTGCGTTCTCCGAAGAAAGCCTTCCAAGCGAGAAGAGACTTGAAGAAGGAATAGTTTGGGAGAGACAAGACAAGAGAGCCGTCCCACTCCCTCCCTCCTAAAAACAGAAGCGAGTGCGGTGTGTGTGTGTGTGTGTGTGTGTGTGTGCAGTGGCTGCCGCAGTGCGTCTGAGTGGAGAGAGGAGCGAAACACGAGCAGTCCGACTCTGCCCAGAGACGCCCGTGCAAACCAGAGCCGCAGCAGCCGAATGATGACGGATCAGCTGACACATCTGCCATCGCTCAGCGTCTTCCCAGACACGGAGAATGAAAGGACAGGGAATCCCTGGCCAATGCATCCGACCGTCCGGCCCGGTCCTGACACTCTAAAGGCTTCGGGCTTCTGATAGCGCTGATATCTATAGGGAGACTCTGCCTCCCTGGATATGAGATGGAATATTTCTTGCATTCAGTGGCAAAGGTTGCAAGTTCAAGTCTGTCTGTGACAGCTGCTCACCGATGACCAGCTCCACCACTCTTTACCAAACATGAAAAAGAAGGGGAAAAATGAATGTCAGCTGAGTGAAACAGTGTCTAGTCACACCTAGGTCATCAACACTATGGACAGATTTTTATTAGACAACTGACTGGCCATTGATTACTCTCACAACACTGCCTTTACCCCTTTCTAGTCTGATCTATAAAACACAGAGAGGAACCTTTTGTGCTTTTCCATTGTGCAACAAACCACAGAAGGCATCCTTTCTCTATACCTGCTGTAACACAATGCTCAAAAACCCAAGCATGAATGCACACAATCCGTCTAAACCTCACAGACTTTCTGAAACCCACGCACTTTGGTAAGGTCAAGACCAATGCAGGAGAGCAAACGCGAGAGCTCATCTGACAGGCTGAATGGGGGAAAGACCGCGGTCTGGTAATTGTTCAGTGCTCTAAGGTCACTTCTGAGGAGCTGTGGACAGGTGAAGGTGTTAATACTCCATATGCCTCTGTAATTGACCAAAACACCTGCCTCGTCTGGCCAACTCCACTTGCTCAACAACACCGCTCTCAGTTTCATACTCAATACATGAATTAAAAGGCCTGAATTTCTTCTGAAAATGGCTTTTATAATATCACACTTTCTCATGTACACAGGAGCGGTGTAAAGCAGCATTTAGTGCAAATCAATATTTGATAGACCTTGCTCAAAGGCAGGTTTCAGTTTCTGCACTCTTACAAAATTCTAGTTTGGCATTTCATAATGTTATACTGTATATATTATCAACATGTGGACATTAAATGGACAACACTGAAGGTGTTTGTCTATTAAAGACACAGCTTTAGCACCAACAGAACTATACTATAATCAAGTCGTCACTGAATCTCTAGATATTTCAAAATCACAGTGAACACTACCAAAATAAGCTTTTGGAAAAAATCACTGTACCTCCGTGTGGAATGATGTCCCAGCCCTTCCCCAACAGCCAAGTCTCTAATCTGTGAGCTGTTTTGGATGAAAGCATCTGCTGAATTAATTAATGTAAATGTACACAGAGTTTCTTACAGAAGTCACAAGTGTTGACTACTCTCACACTAGTTGTGTTAAAGTCATATTCTCCCATTATTGTTCATCGGCATTATCAAGTTCACATACTGTCAGATGAGACAGGTGTACATAACAATAGATTTTAAAAGAAAACTTCTGCCATAAGAAGAGGAAGAACAGAAAGATGACGTTAATTCCACTTCTGAATTTCATTTCTGCTTTTGAATGCATGGCAAACACATCTGCCCCAATTTCCAAACACAATAACAAAACATGATGGCCAGACAATGCTGAGTGTTTTGCATACACGTTTCCTTAACATTCATGTTAAATACAAAGGCAAATTGAGACGGTAAATTGAGAGCAGATGGACTACGAGGTCCCTCTCCTTCAGTAACACACATTCTTTAACCCTTATTTCTCTATTTCAGTTTCTCCCTTGCCCATCAGGTGTGAAGAGCTTGACGTTTGCCTGTAATTGGTGTTGAGTCACTTCGTTGTTTCACTGGAAAATGTGTCAATTTGCAGGCTCCGCTTTTGCACTTCCAGAAATCTATTGATATTTTGTTTGGCTTTTGTTTTATTTTTCTGTTTTCCGTGCAGTTAAAGTTTAATTTATTCTACGATAGAAAGTGTAACAAAAAGCTATTTTCATTGTGTTTTTTCTCAGTTCTTTCTTATTTTATTGTATTTTAGGGTGGTGTGGGTCTGCAGAGAATTCAAGAGCCTTTGACATATAAGTTGGTCTTACATTGAACAGAATTACATCCTACATATTTCACTGTCTGATGCTGGCCACAAAATCACAGAACTTGAGCATTTGATCTCTACTTGTCATTGCAGGTGTCAGCATCACATGCGCTGGATCAGGTGAGTCTGTAACCCGTATCGCCCCACTCTCAGCATGCTTGCATGCACTTGCATTAGTGAGCTCAAAACAAGAGCTTCGTCTGGACGCCTGCCACCTTCTTCTGTCACACTCAGAGCTCCCCAGGGAACAGTGAGCTGTGGTATATATGGACGTGAACCACAGGGGAATCACTGCAGACTCTTCCAGAAGGCAGCCAAACATCTCTCCAATGGGTTTAGGACCGAGGCAGTGTGTGTGTGTGTGTGTGTCACTCGTCCTCCTCTTCATCGCAGTTCTCCTCTTCCTCCGACGAGGAACTCGACGACGACATGCTGGACGTTAACCCGAGCCCAGGCTTTGACAGCATGTCCCTGGGAAGCATCGGCTCGTCGGTGCTGGACAGAGACTTCGACATGCACTTCGAGTCCGGGGCTTCTCATTTCGAGTTCCCCGACTACTGCACGCCGGAGGTGAGCGAGATGATTTCAGGGGACTGGCTGGAGTCCACCATTTCTAACTTGGTGTTCACGGCTCACGTGCTGAACTAGGGAAAGTTGAGGAAATACGCCTGAGGAAGAACACTGAGCAGAAGGGATAACAGACAAGTGTTTGTTTGTAAAATAAGCCACAGTGTGAAGGCTCCCGCCCGGCAACGCGCTGAAAAACAAAAGCTACGATGTAAGTATAGCTAATTGTTTTAGTATCTTAAGGCATGGTGAATAGATTTGTATTTCCGATTCAGGTTTATAGCTGTTGTGTTAAAAAAAAAAAAGAAAGAAAAGAAGAAAAACATGCCAGCTTATTGTGTCAAGTCACTGACTGTCAGATTGTTCATATACTCCTGTACAGAACTTTTTCATAAAGGAAATAAACTCAGCTGGAACTGAACCCTAAACACTGCGCCGTTGACTCGCTTTCTCATTTGCATAAGTGGGCGTGTCCCCTGTGCGTCAGTTGAACCGTCTGCCTTGTCTGTTTGGACTTGCAAAGCACATATTACCTGCCTCAACGATTTTTTAACGCTCACGTAACAGCAGCTGTGCGTTGCTTACTGTAAGTGGCCTTTATATCTGAGCAAGTTTATAAGTGTAAATTAATTTATTGTGCGTGTGCCAGGTCACTGGAGTTCGCATGCTCCTTGATTATGAATGCACACAGGCGCATCTCCACAGAGCGCACTGAAAGGTGATCCATGTGGCTTGATGCACTCAGTGACTGGCTGGCTGTCTGGCAGACTCTCCCTCCCCTTCCCAGAAAGTCTGGGCTCTCAGAGAGGGGGATGGGCTGCTATCGCCCGCCAGAGACAACCGAATGCATGATATTGCTCCTGTACTGCCATTAAACGCGCACAGTGCGGTATATGTGACTACATTTAAGAATGCATATAAGCAAACCATGTGGCACTGGAAGTGCATGCATTCAAACGAAGCTTTGCTGTTGTTGCACGCCCAATAGAAGATTCTGCATTGTACAGTCTGTGCACATTGCTCTGGCCGTGGTGTGGGAGTTTCCAGAGCAGCCGATGAGCAGCTCAGCAGGGCTCTTTGGCCAGATCTGTTCTCCAGAGGGAGGGGTGTCAGACAAGAAGTGCAGAGAAACCTGCCTGTGTCTGAGGACTGCAGTGAAAGAAAGCTCAGATATTACATTGTAAGTAGCCTCGGTGCAGTTTCGCGTGGGTGCAGTCATTGTAGGCAGCACATTACATTACTGTTTCCTCCATAAAAAGAAAAAAAGGTTTAGCTTTCATCAGACACTTCTGGCAGCAACTCGAGTGTAAAAGAAGACAAGCACTGGTTTCTCCATTTTCACTGCCTTACACAATCACAGCAGAGCCGGTCTCACATGTTTATAGTATCTTTCATGAAATATAGGCCTAAAAAATCATTGTAAGCAGAATAGATTTGATTCCTTTTACTGATCATATGTTGTTGCTTCTGTTGCTACAGTTATTAATGCAGAAAGAGTAACACTGTACTGGTTTTCTTGATTTTTTTGTTTCAGTCAATAGCTTGTGGGATTAGAAAGTGAAAGTGATAATTAATCAGGAAAATATACATTTTATAATATTGTCAACAACTGGCCTAATTATATATTATATTGAACTTGAATTTTTATGCTTTATCTTTGAGAATGAACAAGATTGATTTTTTTTGTGTGTACAGTTTGGTACTGAATGTGTTTATTGTAATAATTCAAATGGCCTACATGCAATAATAATAATAATGGAAAAAAACATCCAAATGGTTCAAATACAGGGGCATCCTGATCTAAAACTGCACTCTAAAACACGGGACTCTGTGACACTGAAATGCTTACATGTAAAAGAGCGTCTCTCTACCAATCCCATAATTTTGAAAAACAGTGGACATTTGCATATTAAATGAAGGTTGAGGAAGTACCTTTGAGCTCAAGCACAGTTTGTTACTGAGGTGTAGTGTGATGATGCTGGTTGTGTGCTGATCCCGCATTAACTAGAACATCTGAGCTGTAAATACAGCCTATTAAGCTTTTGTCAGGACAACCATGAAGAGCTGATGAACAGGACTGATGACGAATTTGAACGGCCGTTTTCAGCATTTTCACCCACAGCGTGTGTCCTGTGAGGCTTATGTATACACTGTAAAATGTAAATGTGAAATGAATGCATGTAACACAATGCTTTTGTAAACCACATACAGTATCAGTTTAAAAAGTGCAAAAAATAATGATTTGAAAAACATTTGAATATTTTTTATTTATTTATGCTATTGATGGAATAAAATGTAAAGATGCTTGTGAATTAGTGATTCATGGTGCATGAGATGTTTCACTGTGTTCAAACGGTGTAAGCCAGTATATTTTCTCCTTTGTTATAAAAATGCCTCAGTCACAATTATCTTTGAGTTTCAAATATGGTAGATATCACTCATTAACTAAGAATGATATATTCTTACAATGGGCCGTTTGCTAGCATTGTAAGTATGAAATTGAATGATCAGTGTTTCCTAGAAATGCATTTTGCTGTCACTGTTACACAGCATTGTCCGTACTGCTATTAGTGTGGCTCTCCTGTCATTGCAAGAGATATTGTGTATCTGAAGGCTCTAACATTTACTGTAGACGTATGGTGAGTAGTGTAAATGCTAATTTGAGGCTGTCAGATCTTCTCTTCTTTTTATGTTTACAATATTAAATATTAACATCATAAAATAATTTACATTTCTGAAATTGCAAACATCTTACTGTTTCATTTCATTGCATTGCATTCAATGACAAAATACAAAAAATGAGTGGCATCTGCAACTAAATTATGGTAGACTTTTTTTAGAATGACATTTATGTTTAGGAGCCATTTTTGGGAGAGAGAGAGAGAAAACTCTAAAATGAAATTTGCTGCACTTGCATAAACAAGAGTTACTTAAAATATCTTAATCAAATCTCACGTCATCTGAACCCAAACAAACCATAGTTCTGAGCAGAATTAACTACTCATATTAAGTAGAGGTTTTTACACTTTTATATTTTGCTTAAATAACTATTAAATATGATAAATATTATCAGTTAAGCGTACTAGTTTCTCAGTGTTGAGCTGATTGAATTTTCGTGGCACCTGCATGTGAATTAAAATGCTTTACTAAAAACACTTGTCTAAGTCTTAATAACTTAGTTGTGTTTTATTTAGTCAGAATTGGCTCAGCAGCTGCATGCTTACCTCTTTAAACTCTGAAATCAAACTCGTTTTGAGCATGATCTGCTGTGATGTTTAGTGGATGGATGCATTCTGTTCCTCACGCAGGTGTCCTACAGGTGTGCTTTATCACATGTTCAACTAACTATATTTCTGTGCATTAATGATTTGACCATAGAATGACGTTAAACCAAAGGTCCGTTGGCTTCATTACACTATGTGTCATCTTTTCACTGCAGCTTTATTTGATCATTATTTGATAATCGATTATATTCGAATGGACTGTATTTAAAATGACTGTATTTTTCTAGCAGGACACCTAAAACATTGCAGTAAAACGCGTAGGTTGACATTAAACATTAAACATATAATAATTAGTAGCTAGATAAATATAGCCTATTTCATTGCACATTACATCGCCACGCTTAAATGTAATATGTGTCAGAACTTGTCGATATAGTCATGCTTTGTGTGAATTCAGGCAAATTGGCAGATTTTTGCTATTGAGATGACTGGGAATCAGGCGTATTCTGACCAGTGAACAATGCCATTCAGGGGGTCGGATTTGAATATATATATATATATATATATATATATATATATAAATAAATAAATAAATGAATCAATCATGCATGTTGATGTCCCTAGAAGTCGTTTCAACAAAACACAAGTTTTATTTACTTGAGTAACTGTTGTCGTAGCTGGTACTAGGTATGTGATATATATGGTTGAAATGTATGTTTGTTTTATATTGTGCTGTATTGAAATGTGTATTGGTGTATTTATATATGTTATTCGATGTGTGGTGTTTTAAAAAATGATTTTGAATGTCCTAGCACAATAAGGAGGGTCTCTTTCTGGCTCTGTTTTAGGAGCTGGTTTGTGTCACTGTTTTGAATTACTATTTATGTCTGATATAAAGTATTGCACATTTGCACACGATATATTGGGGGGTGTTGAACCCTTCTGGTATCAACTTGCTACCAGCTAAGCCTATTTATGTTTTAGAACTTTTGTCGAGTTGTTAATAAATGACGGTTACATGGACGATTTGAGTGGAGAAATCGATTGCTTGTCATAGATAGGCTTTACAATAACAAGCAAAATATGTTTGGTGCATAAATCAGATGGACTTACTGAAAATGCAAATTCATTCTCTGCCAGCAGGAGGTGCTTTAAAGCGGGAGAAACAGAGGTTTCCCCAGTAAGGGCTGTACACACAGCAGCGCTCAGCTCACAAACGCTGCTTTATCAGGCATATAACATGCAAGATGAAATGAAAATGACATCGAAATTTTCTAAAGATCGTCTTCCTTCAGAAATACAGTGATATAAAAACACGCATGCCTCGTTATGATTTTTAAATGTGCAGTATGTGCTCATGTTTATTCAACGAAGCCTTTTGGAAAATCTGTAATTTTTGATATTGTGGCACCACAAATAAATAAATGTATGGGAAACACATCCCACAGCACAACCACCTGAGCCCAACTTCAGTCTACTCATCACCTTAACTTTAACTGCGTTTGTAGCCGGAGCCAGAGCCAGACTGATAAACACACACAGACCGGAAGTTAACTTCGGGCCAGGCGCACGCGCCCGATGAAACCGTCTATATATTCAGGAACAGAAACCCTAACATTTTGTTTCGACTTGGAAATTATGACAGCTAAGAAATATTTATCTTATAGACGAATTTTAAGTGCGTTACAATACAGGCAACTTATATAGCTACAACTCAATGGAATGCAATGATTTACATTGATTTAACTATTTATTACAAATATTTTAATTAAGTCATTTTTGAGTAAATGCAGTGTTTCCTGAGGGGCCACGACCAATCCGTAGGCTACATATTTTATTTGGTAGCTAATTCATTCTGATTTCTGGGAGGGGTGTGTTTAGGGGTGGGGTTAGGGGTGGTCTTTCCTACGAATTAGCCACCCCGTAAAATACGTACGATTTTTCACGATTTTCCCCAATAAAATATGTACGAATTGCCGTGAGATCGTGTTTTTTTGCATTTCACATCGTGCATTTGAGCGTGTTTGTACCGTGGAGAGCAAAACAATCCCCATAATTCACTGATTTCTGAGTAACTCCAGTAAGTTGCTCTCTGTGTTGATATTTAGTTGTATGTAGAGGGCGGGACTCGAACTGAAAGGAACAAGGCGCGGCCAAGAACCCCTTCACACGTGTAGACAAAGAGACCATCAACACAACCCAAACATGCAGGGAAAGTTTTCCAGGACCTCGCGAAGCGCCCAGGTGAGTGATCGGCACACGCTCAGGTTAAGCTTGTGTCGCGCTCAGATCGGTTTCGTCTGTGGATGTGTATCTGGAAAAGTTCTGCAAGAGTTGGTGCGTCAGCTCGCAAAGGAGCGGTCCTTTGTTCAGCGGCGACTCGAGATGCTCAAACTATAGATGAAGATGAGATCTGAAGAAAGTGTGGATGGAAAAAACGATAGGATGTATTTGGGAGAAAAAAGTGTTATTTTCTACTTTTGGCTCATGTGGGACTAAGGATGGCGCAGGAAGACAAAGCTGTCAAAAGTTGATTGGCGAAGGAAGTTGACCGAAAATTGCGCACGCAAAGTATTTCGCAATTAATATTAAACGAAAGACGAGTTTTGTTTCAGGAGAAGCTCTAGGCATTGCTCTGTTTAATCTTCCGGATGATGTAGTAGTTAATCGCGAGGTTGATATCTCCAATTATCTGCGCATGAATACATACTGATTAATTCAGCATACTTGTGCTTTTAATGCCTTCTTATTAAATCGTTTAGTATTAGATGCAATGCTTTTTGGTGCCATTTACGATGATTTGTGAGCGTGAGGTGGATGCATGATGTTCAGATTGTGTGAAAGAGCAACAGGTACAATGAGCAGTCGCTCTCAGTCCTTTGTTACAGAACTTAGAAAGACACGATGCAGTCTCTTTGTTCTGCAGCTGCCGAACACAGAGTGTGAGGACACGCCACACAATTCCTCAAATAGCTGATATTGCAGTGAACGGTGTTTTTTTTAGTATGCTAAAAAAAGAAAAGAAAAAATAATTGCAATAAGTTTAACCTAGGAAACGATAGTTAGCATCACTTCTGATTGAAATACCTGCTTTTAATGTAACTTTTAAACCAGAATATTTTCAAATAAATTAGACATTTAAAGACAACTGTCATGTAAGTATTTCTGAAGCGATCATTTGCCTTTTTATTTTAAATTTGATGTCCTTGTTCTCCTAAAATAAGCGCTAATTCTTCATGTGTGTGCATTTGCCCTGTAGCTCTGGAAACCCAAAGTTAGTTTACTTTTGACAAAGTTGTCATGTGGATTTTTTGTTTTGCTCTCCATCTTTTGCTTCTACAATCCAATGCATTCGCGATATGTGCACATGTGAATAATTTAAAATGTACTTAAAATAACCCAATTATATATCCAAAGCTGGAGCTATTAAGGCGTTAGTAAAAATTTAGATTTTTTAAAATATTTTATATATATATTTATTTGTTTAATTTTTTTTAAATAATTTTTTTATGAAAGTGTTTAATCCCAAAATAATTTTCCAGCTCGAACTATTGTGTCTCAAACTGCAAGTGGGCCTGTATGCCAAGATTTGGAGACTTTGAGACATACATTTATTAAACGCGTTTCAATAGTGAGCATTTGCATTGTATTTATCTGATTTATCAAAAAACAAAAATCAAAAGAGCAGAGAACTCAGCTGCATTAAATAATTTCTTCGTTGAAGTTAAACTCGTATGAGTTCTGTTATAGGCCAGCACGCACGGGACTGTGAGCACTGGAGAGCTCCTGTTCTAAACGGACGTCCTTTGAAGGATTTATTTAATTATTTTTCTGCTGTGGGATTATTGGACTATCCATAATGAGAATGATTACTTTCCACTTCTAGACACAGTGGAGCAACTAAAGGTGAGTGTCCTACATTTAAAACGCATTTGGTAAACCATTATCATTGAAAACGTGTATGTAATTCATAACTTCTCCAAATATTAATTTAGAGAGCTACGTATGTTAAGATGTGCATCTGAATGTACACGAGTGAGCGTTGCATAATGCACTGATGATTGTTCGCATCATTAGCTGAAGTTACAATAGCGTGCTGGCGCGCTTGGTGACGAGGAGTGACGTGGCCGGATCAGTCTCACTTTCCTCAGCATAATGATGTCATGCAGTGTGCTATCAGTCCATCAGGCGTGACTGAGAGCACCAGGCCCTCTCTCGGAGAGCTCGAGCTCTGTCTGAATGTGTTTGTGTAGCGCAGCGGTGTTTTTTTCAGCAAGTGCGGAGCTGGACAGCGTCAGGGACTCGGGGCTGGATCTGATGCGCACCGCATCCGCGGGGAACCTTCAGAGCCGCATTGCAGCCGTTTCCTTTATCAAATGAAAGTTTGGGATGAGTAATCCCATCATCTTCCTCTAACTCGAGGGAGCTGAGCTCAGACTGCGTCGGAAGCCTCACGGCGTCTCTCCGCTATGATGTCACTAGTCTCTGGTATGATGTCATTGGCAGCCAATCAAACGCGAGCGGGAATCATACGAGCCAATGAGACGCCAGGCGGCCCCGCCCACCGCACGTTCTGCCCATGTTGGAGGTCGCAGCTCTGAAATGAAGTAATGCAGAGAAAAGCACCAGCTGCAGCTTCAGAGGAGAGAGTTTGAGGATGAAAAAGACAAGGCTTGTATGATTGTTTTAATCCACTGGAGACATGAAGTCAAGTGCTCAGAGTTTCATTCACTCTCCACATAAAACACATCACTAGTATTTAGAGCAAATGTTGCATTGTAAAGGCAGAGATTATTTCAGTTTTCTTCTGTAAAACTAGCAGATGGTGCCGACTGTTCTCTAACCTGTTCCTTTCATCCGCATTATTCAGTAAACAGATGGATGTCAGTCCTGCGGCTCGTACAGTCTGTGGTCCACTCCTTTCTCTCCCGTTCTCAGTTCACGGTCTCTTCTGCATATGAATGCGCTTTGGAAGAGCTCCACATTCAGACCAGCATTACCAATTGTCCTGACAGTGTACCTTGGTTCTCACAGCCGGTGGAGTACAGGCTTAGTTTGAGTTCTCAGTGTCTGTCGTCCAGAGATAAGTCAACATGCTCTGACTGAGCACTGCGATGGATCCAGAATGCATTATTTCCCTTTTTATTCACAATGGTTAAATGCTCCTTGTTGATTGTGGGTTTGTTTTTCGCATTATTTTATCAGTAATTATTGCTTTTTTTATTTTGAAAGTTAAAACAATTAATAAATAAGATAAAAAAATTAGTGCAGTCCAGCAAATATTTAGGAATGTTGTAGGAATATGGAGGAATATGTGAAAAATTTGATTTTTTGTTTTTTTATGAAATTTTGGGGAAAAAAAGTTAAAAAAAAATTGTACCATTAGAGGTTCAGTATCTTGTCAACAGCTTTGTACCTTATTTACCCCTCAAAAAGGTGCATATTAGTACCATATTATTACCACTCTGAAGTGCCAATAACAATAGTTGACTATTTTTTGCATGTTTGTTTTTCTGACAGTGCATCTGTAGATGGCAGGTCAGACGTGTGCATCTGGACACTCAAGCTGTGCTGAAATATGTAAGAAGACCGTGAGTGTGGTGTGTTTGTGGTCAGTGGATTGTGTTGATGGTTCATGTGATGAACTGCACCTCTGCTTGAGAACCACCGGTCTGATATCTTGGGACTCAAACTGCTGCTGAGAGTTTCAGTTCAAAGCGTTGAGAAATATCGCATTGCTTCTATTTCCAGTGCTGCAATGCAAATGAGCACAAACCCTTAAGCTGCACTGCTGTCATGATGAATTTTGCACTCATGCACAAAAAAGTCTAAAATAGGGAATCAGTCTGTGCGTGTGCCGTCAGCATGTCGCACTTTAACAATCTTTCACCCGTCTTTGGCTGAGCTGAAGGCAGAGCGTTATCCTGTCAGTCCTCCACAGCGCTCTCGCTGAGCTGAGAGTTCAGGAGTCACATCAGGACACTCTGAGGCACAGAAACGATTGCTTGTTCCACCAGCGGTTCACCGGCCGGTCGCTTCTCTTTGTTTGCACATGCATGAGGAATCTGCAGTCTACATCTGACACACCTCAGATTAGTCACTTTTCATCAGAATAAAACGACGAGCAGTGTCAGACACCTACTGACCTCAAAGTGACCAGCCTGAGTGAAACAGAGCTCAGTAAATGACATCATTCATGAGACTAAAGCAGGTGCTGATCATCTTAAAGGGACAGTGTGACTCAAAAAGGATCATCATGTACTCACCCTCATGTTGTTCGAAACCATTTTGAGTTTCTCTCCTCTGTGGAACATGAAAGAAGATATTATAAGTCAGTGGTACCCAAATGGTGACCAAAACAGTTTGGTTACCAGCGTTCTTCAAAATATCTTCTTTGTTCTGCAGTATACAGTTTGGGATATTTTTATTTTTGGGTGAACTGTCCCTTTAAGAGACCTATTACTAAGCTCCACCCTTCTTGGAAATGTATTGTTCAGTAAAAATGTGCATAAAGTGGTAAAAATGGATGATACGTCCTTCCTTTCGGGACTGAAGTGAACTGTGACAATGCAAAGCATTTTGTATCTATTTTTCTTTAAAGAAGTTACACAGTAACATGAATCAGAATGGAGTCAACCGCCTCCCACAGTCACTGAAAGGAGAAACGCCTCATTTTAAACTGTATTTTTCTGAACACACAGATCCTCCATTAGAAAAGAGTAAAAAACCTCTCTGAGAAAATGTTGGAAGGCAGCAGTTAAGAAAGGATTGGTTCGTATTGAGTTAGCAAAGGGTCAGTATCACAAATCTGTGCTATTAGCTTTGTCTGTCTTTCTGCACAAGGTAAACCCCGTCCCCCGTGTTATTGTGCGGTTGTCGTGGGTCTGTGGATCCTCAGGAGTGACGTGTCGGTGTGGTTTGTGATTCAGGAGCATCTCTCGTCAGCTGTGCTCCTCTGGGAGGTTCAGGTTCTCCTCTGAGCTCCGCGGAGACTTTCTGTCTTATAACCGCTGCGTCAGGAGCTCCTCATCAACTCTGAACATCATATCAGTGCCTCCATCAGCCCTTCAGATATGAAATCAAACTCAGAGCTGTAATTTAAACTTCACCTAGAGCTATTAGACTGCCGTGTTGATTTAAAAAAATACGCAAATCTAGCATTCACACGTGAGCTTTAATTACAACGTACAAGCATTTTTATCACATGAATATATGAATAAATAAACGCTGAAGCTGAAGTGGGCGCAGAGTCTAATGAACTACAAACATGTGTGTTTATCCTAATGTTTGTGTGTATTTAAGTAACTTTATCCTAAATTTAAAGCGTAACTCTGCTGAAACACTGAGAAGGCTTCACGATGACCAGACACATTTTCTGTGTATCGGGATTTTAAATGACTCATCTCTACAGCATGAAAACTAGTTCAGTGAATCATACTTATACTGCCAGTAAATCAGCATTCAGTCCGATTAGTCTATATAATCCACCAATCACACAGTTAAAAAAATATAAATACATAAGAATCTGTGAAATTCGCGGTAAAAATTGCAGCATTTTAAGTTTTACAGTTTAACTTAAATTTACAGTAAAACCCTGCATTTCATTAACTGATTTAATGTTAATTTACCAACCTATTGAAGTAGGAATATCTGTTTTGTACCTTTATAACACACTGGCAACCACCAAAAACAGGTGATGGGAAAGATACAGAATGAATCACAGCTCATCACAAGCAGCTTTTCCACATAAATATTAATATACAGAAGGTGCGAACAAACACAAAACACCATCATGACAATAAAATAATGCAATGAGCATGAATTAAACAACATTTGACATAACATAAAACCCTAACTCATATGTAAAAAAAATATAGAAGAAAGAGTTTATTCAACAAAACAAAAACATCAAATGTGAACTGTCAAACAGGGAATTCTGGGAATGTAGATTTACGTGAATTTTTTACTGTGAATTAAAAGATAACTTCTCTTCTGTTCTTTTTTTTTTTTTACTTCCACAAACTGTAAATATAACAGTATTTTACTATAACAAATCTGCTGTATTATGACTATTATAACATGACTATTTTCCACGTTAGAATAACAGTAATGTAATAAACATTCTTAAGTAAATACAAATGGAAGTGGAGCAAAAAAAGAAAAGAAAAACGCGACACAAACTTAATGAGGTGAATCCTGGGATGCTTTAGAAGGAGGAACATATGTGAGAAGCATTTTTATAAAGCACTTTGTAGACAACTCCTATTTGTCTACAAACCTGAAGCTCAAGCGTTTAAGCAGAAGCCTTTAGCTGGAAAGCTTCTGAAGCTCACTGGAGTGTGTAGTGTATGTACTGTATGCAGCGCAGTGTGTGTTTGAGCTCAGTGCGGCAACTGCATGGCCAGTAAAACTCAATTCCCCATGCATGGGCTTTTTGAAGTCCAAATGCTCTCATCACATGCACAATTAACTTGAGCCCTGGACGTCCGTCGTCATGAGCGGCTCGTCAGCCTGAGGCTATCGCGGGGTCAGAGGTCACCGGGACAGCCAGAGCTTTAAACACATGTGTTGCTCTTTTCCAGTCTGTCTGTCCATTCTCACATTCGACAAATTAAGGTCATTTCTGTTGTGTTCGCCTTCAAGCAGCGTGATAGTAATGATGTTAGTCAGTACGGTCACACCACGCAACGCTGCCAATTATAGAGCTTATTTCAGCTTTTGGCCTTTTGTTATTTGAGGCTGCCAAACGGGTTGAACCTGAAGTAGATTTAATTTTGGTTTTGCAGGTCACTTGTTATTCAGGTCATCACATTTATCCCAGATTTGGTTAATCTCAAAGGAACCTCAGCTGGGCTCACAGCAAAACGAAAGCGTTGCCTGAAAACAGTGACATGCTAGAGTAACAT